TATATATATATATATATAAAATACATTAAGAGGAAATATATTTTAATTTGGAAGAACAATAAGAATACCGTTTTCATTTTTTGCTATTTTCCAGTAAACACAGTAAAAGGCAGTTATATTTTGATTTAAAAAAATTAATAATTAAAGTGTTTACCTGGTGCGTGAGTAGACAGGGGAAGTACGGCGCGTTGCCTTGCGGCTGCCCGTACAGGATGCGCGCCAGCGTGAAGTCCGAGTGCAGCCCGCACAGGAAGCAGTATATCGACGTACAAACTGACAACCACATCCATATTAAGGTTAAAATACATAATTCTCAATATATATATATATATATACAGACGAATGGAGTACCCATTTTTTTTATAACATAACATAAGGTGGCAAACGAGCAAGCGGCCACCTGAAGGCCAAAATGGCGAAGCGACCGCTGCCCATAGACATCCGCAATTGCAGATGTGTTGCCTCCCCTTATATGACGAAGAAGGAGACGCACATAAACAGGACATTTCCCCTTCCTATGAATCTCCTCCACCGTCAAATCCACTTCCTCATCCTAACCTCTACTTATAAGAAAAGGGTGGTAAAGAGAAAGGGACTTAAATGAGGCTTCCGGCACCACACTCATCAGAAACACGGCATTGGTTCCATTTGACGTCTGTCTTGTGTGTGGCGTGGTATTACTGGGGGCGAGCCCTGCACTGTTAACATGTTAAAGCGGGCACTACCACTGTTGAAATTTCTTGTGGGTAGTCGGTCAAAAAGACCAAAAAGACTTACAAAATAACTAACGTAGCTATTACATTATTAGATATTGCTAATAATATAATGCTAATACTGCATTTTAATATTAAAAAGAGAAAAACTTTATTGTAATGAAATAACTGAAATACTACTGGGTGGATTTCAAAAATTCTTGCACCATTAAAAAGTTATATTGTGATTAATATAGGCCATGTTTTATTTATTTTTTTAATTACACACGGACGGAGTCGCGAGCGAAAGCTAGAGTATACTTAGTGATAATATAGCTATTTATTGAACAAATTGTAATTAGCTTTAAGTTGGTATAACTGTAAATGTTAATCTTTTCTTTTTTAAGAAAATTGTTCCTATTTCTATTTCTATTGGTGAAAGAATTTTTGAAATCCAGTAGTTTTTGAGTTTTTTCAATACTCAAAAATCCGAGCAAGCGCCACCTGAATCCGCCAAAATGGCGAAGCGACCGCTGCCCATAGACATCCGCTATTGCAGATGCCTTGCCTACCCGTATCCGACAGAGGAGGAGACGCACATAAAGAGGATATTTCCCCTTCCTATGTTTCTCCTCCACCGTCAAATCCACTTCCCCTTCCCATCCTCTCCACATAAGAAAAGGATGGTAAAGAGAAAGGGACTTAAATTAGGCCACCTTTTCCTCTTTATAATATTAGTATAGACTGACCACTATTACTAGCCACGGTCCTGTCAGAGGTGGTGGAGGGCGGGGTGGGGATCACTCGCTCGCCGTTCAGCGACGAGTTCGACGGCAGCGGCGACGGGATATTATATCTGAAAATTTATTCATCACATATATTACTATTAATCGACAAAATTTAATCAATAAAGTGTGTTTTTTATAATATAAGGTAAACAAGCAAGCGGCCATTTGAATCTACCGAAATGGATAGCAACCTCTGCCCATAGACATCCGCAATTGCAGATGCGTTGCCTACCCTTCATTGACGAAGGAGACGCACATAAAGAAGACATTTCCCCTTCCTATTCGTCTCCTCCACCAAATCCACTTTTTAATGCAATTGAATTATATCACTTGTCAAGTTTTGTTATAAAATAAAATAATTTTGACCTCATATTACTAATAGCTTGCGTTAGTGATTTTCAAAATATCATCAATGTCTCCTCTATATCCTCCTCCTCTCCTCAGCTCAAGAGGCAGAGCCCAATGATTATTGTTCAACTGATCGTATTAATAAAGTGTTTTTTTTAATTTTTTTTTATATAATTGAATGTCTGCCATTCCCGACAGTCCCATACCTTCTATGTTCCAGTGGCACTCTCTCCGCGTCCATCAGCTCCCACTGTCTTGCGAGATGCCTCACGCAGCGGGAGCAAGCCAGCACGCGGCCGCCCCGCGCGCCGCCCCCCGCCCCCGCAGACACCAGGCAGGGGAAGTGCATCGCGTGCGAGTTCATGTACTCCGCAGTCGTCGACAGCCACTCCATAGACTGCTGCGGGAATAGACCCGCGCATACGTAACACCTGTGTAAAATGACACATTAGTACCGGTTTCCCATTTAACTGTTCGTTAGTTGTAGATAACTTTAAGAAACGCGTTATTGAATTACGTAACTTTATTTTTCCGTAAGTTAGGTCAATACTAATAAATCACTAGATAATGAAATAAATGGAAACTTCAACAATCCAGAATAAATAGTTTTTTTTTGAGTATTAAGTCAACGAAGGACCCAACGTAGTTTCCTAGCTAATTAAGAGATTTCTATTGTCTATTTCAAAATATCACTAATAATTAAAATTAAAATAAATATTTAAACACCTTTAAACTACTTCGATCGTCTTTTGATCCTTTGAGTCGGATTTATAAATGGATGATTAGGTTTATTATATACAACAGAAATATCTAGTAAATTTAACACTCTTATTACAAACAAAATTATATAATTAAACTTTTACTGAGAAGAAAAATCAGATAAGGGAACAAAAACTGATATTTCCATCACATATTTTACACGTTTGAAAGTTATCAGACAATTTACAAGAATGTGGCAGGTCTGGCTTTAATCTTTATTTCCGTTATTCCGGTAGTATCATTATTTAAGAAGTTTGAAAAAGTTGGCAACACTGATAGGGACTGTCCCACCAAATTGTAAATTGTCAGATAACAACCTAACGTTTAAAATGTGATGGAAATATCGGAGTCTGTTCTCTTATCTGATAGTGACGTCATTTTTAAGCTATCTGAGGCTCTATCAGCCAGTTGTGGGATAGGACCTAAATGTGATTTTACTCATTGGGATTAAAAATAGGTAAACTACCCCCATATGTGTACAGTCAGCCTCACCTGTACAGTCCCATGCCGTTCTCTCCGGACACTATCTGTGAGTGGGGACTGCTCGACAGCGCGTTGGACGGCCGCTTCGACTGACTCGAACTCTTCATATCGTATGGCTTAAACCTGCGATAGTTAACGTTATTTACTATTTCATTTATTAATATTTCCAATTTTAATAATATAATATTCAATTTTTAAAGCAAATTTGAATTTTTCTGTATTATGTCCATATTTCTATCTTACTAATATTATAAATGCGAATGATTAGATGGATGAATGGATGTTTGTTAGTTCGTAACTTTTACTAATGAACGGATTTCGATGAAATTTAGCATAGATTGTAGATAGTCTAGAACACATAGGCTGCTTACTTTTGCTTTTTTTAATTCCACGCCAGCAGTCTCGGGCGGAAGGTAGTACTAACATAATAAAGCGGAAACAAACACTTTTTCGTGGCGTAGGATGTCAGCAATCACAGCATATTTTTTAAATAATTCTTTCTTTAATAAAAAAACCCTACATTTACGACATGCTTTAGGATATATATTTTCACGCATTTAATGGGGGTAAATAAATTGTAAAATAACCTCCATGTGGGAAAGGGACCATAAACTACAAGCTACCAACATTAAGGAAGCAAGGTTATTAAAACGGTGATTTTGGTCTGCCTAATGCCCGGTTCACACTTGGCCAATACAATTAGACAGTTGCGTAGGCCAGTCATACATTGTATGCACTCACTGGTGCCAATTAGTCACACTATGTCTGTTGAATGCCAGTCGAGTTATAAAGCGCTACTAAAATTGTACTGGCAAGGTGTGAACCGGGCATAATCATCTTTAGATCATCGGTTGGCGACGCCCATATTATTTAATGTATGGCCTTTAGGTGTCATCATGATATTTTCCTTCTTTATCCAAATACTAGCTGTTCCCATGCAACCTCATCCGCATAACATTATAAAACAATCATTTTATTGTTTACATTTGTCAACTTATCACTTGTAAATGTCAAAATGACATGACATGATGTCAAACTACTGCAACCTTGATTCCTTGATGTTGGCGGCAACTTATGGTCTCTTTCCCACATTAGGGTTCTTATCCCTAAGTTGAATGACGTGAAAATATATAGTCTAAAGCGTAACGTAAGTGTAGGGCTTTTTATTAAAAAAAAAATTACTCAAAAACATGCTGTTATTGCTGACATCTTAGGCAATAAAGTGTGTGTTTACGCTTTATAATAGTAAAGATTACTAGTGTGTATCTTACCTAATATTATTAGCATGCGAGTTATTGTGCGCGGCGTTGGGCTCGCCGTTTTCTCCGTACGCCGGGTACTTGAGCGGGATGCTCTTGTAGCAGGACGCGCATATCTGAACCATGCCTAGAAAATCATATTTGTTACTAAACTAATTTATATTTATATTACTGTATGTCCTAAATAACTAGCACTTTGAAACCTGGCTCTCACAAAACGGATCTAGTAGGGAACCAGACGCTTACAAAACAAATTTCGTAAAAAACTTTAATTAATCTTCAGTATAGATGCGAAAGTTTATATGTATGGATGTTTCTATCTCTAAAACGGCTTAACGGATCTCGATGAAATTTGTCACAGACACAGTTCTGAAATTACATAAGCTACTAACTAGGGTTTTGAAATATGCGCGGATATTACGGGGGCCCAGTGGTCCATCACACAGGGTGACAGTTTGGACAACAGTCGTCTGCTTAAAGGAGATTTTTTTATTATTTTATTGCTGGCAAAAGGTAGTAACATAATAAATAAAATGTATCAAGGGATGTTTTGTTGAAAAAAATTAATAATGATATGTGTACCTTGTGGACTGATAGGGCTGGCATCAGAGTGCGGCTTGAGGCCAGTAATGAAGGGGTAGTAGGGCTCGCGCTCGGGGTTGGGGCAGCAGTAGACGAGGCGCAGCTGGCTGGAGGGCGCGGGCACGCCGCACACGTAGCACACGAAGCTGGCGGTGGCCTGGCTGGGGGGGCGCTCCAGCGAGGGCGAGCGCGCCGCCGCCGCCAGCGACTTGTCGCCCGAGGACGCCAGGCTGAGCGGCGACGGCGGCAGCAGCGACGGCGGCCGCGTGCGCAGCGTGTACACCCGCTCGTGCGCGGACACGCCCCGTGTCTACACATATACCCTTACTTAATAAAACTTTCCTGAGACTTACTATAATTAGACAAATACAATAAAGCGTAAACACACTACTTTTTGGCGTATGATGTCAGCAATCACAGCATATTTTTCTATAATTCTCTCAAGCTACCAACATTAAGGAAGCAAGGTTATTATGATAACGGTAAGTTTAACATTTGCAATTGAGAATTTGACAAATGTAAACAATAAAATAAAGTTTTCTTTTCAAAACAGCTTGTTAATTATAACACTGATAAACTCGACCCGTCGGGGGTCCGACACTGGTCGGTGTCTACAAAGAGGTTGTCACGTGTTTAGCCGTGTAGACTTTTATATCTAACTCTTTGTCAAATAAAATTCATATGAATTGATATTGGGCGAATTTTATCTCAGTATTATAAAACTAGCTGCGCCCATGACAAGTAAAAAATAATAATCATGCCTATATTACTTAGCTTGTAGCTTTTAGAAAACGGTCCAATAGTTTTTGAGTTATTTCAATACATACAAAAAAATACAAAAATCCAAATCTTTCCTCTTTATATTATTCGTCTCTGTTCATATTTAAAAAAATAATTTACACACCATTTTAATAATTGTATTGAACGGTATATATCTTTAAGAACTTACTTAGATATTAAAGAGATATCGATACAATCAAGTTAAATAGAATTTTCTAACGATAATCAAACCGGATAGAGTTATCAAATAACACTTCAAACATCTATTTTTTTATTAGGTAAAACCATCGATATTACCAATGATTAGATAAAACCCTATATACTAAATTGGTAGACAGTGGTATGACAAACGACGGATTTTTTTTGATTAAATTAAATTCGTTATCAATGACTTATGTGACAGATAAACCTAACGTTGCAATGTGAAAACAATAATTCACATTACTGCATATGCTATCTCCGAAATAATTTATATAAAAATTAACATAATAAGTATGAAATTGTAAGGTTTATCGTCCTTGAGATTAACAAAGAAATAGAGTAATTTCTTTATAATCTGTGTTTTTTATTCAAACCCATATTTAGTATTTTTAATCATTATTATCAAATAGGTAAATAAAAACGTGGGTCGGTCCAAACAGCTGATATGATAAGCAAATCCATTTTAAATACCTTTATATTTTAAGCCATTTATCTTATAGTTGCGTTTAAATGCAAGTAATGGTGATTAAAAATAAATTTTGTTAATATTTAAAACCGGAACAAACATTTTAATAATAATAATTCTGCATTCTAACTTTAACTTTCGAAAAGATAATAAGAAATTGACAATAATATTCTGTGAAAGTACATTTCATAAAACCAATTATTAATATAATGTACTTTAGAGTAATCGTGATGTTTAACAGACAGATATCCTCAAGACTATTCAGGGCCTATCCCACCACTAGCTGATAGAGGCTCAGATAGCTTAAAAATCACTTAGATAAGGTAACAAAATCCAATATTTCCATCATATATTTAACGTTGGATTGTTATCAGACAATTTACAATTTGGTAGGAAATGCCCTTAAAAATGTATAAATCATGTACCTTTGTATAACAATATAATGACCCACCAAATTGTAAATTGTCTTATAACAATCGAACGTGTATTTGATGTAAATATCGGATTTATTTCCTTCGTCATAAGCTATCTGAGCCTCTATCAGCCAGTGGTGGGACAGGCCCTAAGTATGAATAGATCCTTGAGTGAAAGACTTGTTAACGCACCGGTGAGTTCCAAAGGTTATCAATACGTCGGTTATAAAATAATCTAGAACAGTCACAAGTTTGCTGGCAGCGAGCAGACGGCCCCACTGGAGGGTTATCTGCGGCTATCAGACAGCGGTCGGTAGGTCAACGTCGACGAGCTTTTAATGCCAATAAACAAACAAATACAGAAAAGGTAATGTGGAAAGTATGAAGTGCGGTTTTTAGTCCAAAAGGCAAATGTAGATACCACCTTTGACTTTTGGAGGTCGTGCTTAAGTGATGTTTTTAGTAACTTTCTTATCTAACCGCCGTGAGTTAAATACTCTTATGCCTAAAATGACGTGTAACTTTTGTAGTACAGGGTAATGTATTTCCAAAACATTATTAATTTTCGTCATCAGACAGAAAATAAATGCACTTATTACCTTGCTTTAGACCCCCTGATGTTTTGTGATACTTTCGTAAGCCCTTTTACGAGTGTTACTTGATTTATGAACAATTCAATATTGTCAATGTTCCCATTAAACTTGTGAGATAAAAGTAAAACCCAACTAAAGGGGAACTCCTATAAATAAAGACGTGTGGAAGTTATTTTCATTCGCAATTTTTTCCTCATAATTACAAATACGATTAAATCAGCTTATTATTAATTACATTATCGCAGTTAAGTGATAACATAAAAGAACATAACAATACAATTTTCTATAAATTATCTGCAACACAGCTGAACATTGAAACGAATCTTAAACACCTCGCTTCGTAAGCGTCGCTTACAATCTGACTGCCGTCAAAACTTTAATGGAATTTAGAGTTTCATGGCCTTATCATTTAAGACCCTATTACATAAACGTCGTTTCAGTATTGGGCCGTAAGAGTTTTATTTAAACACACGTCAATTAAACTATTGATATCATCAATATGAAATCGGTTTTCATTAGTACTTTTTTCTAAATAATTTGTATGTATTGAATATTGAGTTTTTCTACGTACTAGTATAATCTATACTATTATAATAAAGCGTAAACACACACTTCTTTGTTGCCTAAAATATCAGCAATTACAGCATATTTATGAATAATTCTTTCTTTAATAAAAAGCCCTACACTTACGTCACGCTTTAGGTTATATATTTTCACGCCATTAAACTTAGAGGGTACATATTTTGGACATAAACCCTAATTTGGGAAAGAGACCATAAGTTGCTGCCAACATCAAGTAAGGTTACCATACTTTGTCATGATGTCATCATTTTGACATTTGCAATTAATAATTTGACACATGTAAACAATAAAATAAAATTTTCATAATTTTACGCGGATGAAGTCGCACAGGAACAGCTAGTTTAAGCTTCAGAAGTAGAATTTACAATTTAAATATCTTGTTTACGTCTACATTTATGGTACATAAAGTAATTTGTTTGTTATTTCATTACCGAAGAAATTATAACGTATTTTATTAAAAAAAATCATAAATGAAATTCGTGAAATCGCATATATTAACATATTAATATGATAAGTTACACCGAAACCGGAGACATCCGGCTTTATATCTCAACCATATGACTGAAGAACAATCAAGGCTGGACACACGTTATCGACATAACCTTTGTCCGTGCGAAGTGCGAAACGGGTACATTTCGTAAACATTTAGACATTATGTATTCATTTATTATGTCATAGTCTTATCACAGACATAATTTAACGAATACATCCAAGGGATTATTCCCAACCGTCAGCCCGCTCGAGAATAAAATTTCATCCGTCCCACTATTAGTCCCACTATCACCAAAAAGGACAGATGGAACCGTTATGAAATTAAATAAATCCCAACCGTCCCCTCTTCGCAAAAGGTAAGACGAATGAATCTTTTTATTCTCATCTGTTCCCACGTGGAGACAGAGCGGTGTGTCGGTTGGGAATAATCAAGTGGATAATGATAAATATGAAACAATAATTTTAAGAGTCCATACAACTAAAAAGTTACTGTACCGAAGTTGTAAGCCAACGTGTGGATGCTGGAAGATTCGAGTTATTTTTTTATAAAATGTATCTTGTAAATTTTGTTTGGAATATAGGATTATTTAACTCTAGACTAGACTGATATGTTATTGAGTTGTTAAATGAAAAAGGGCACTACAAAATAAATGATTTACAATCTGGCGTTAGAAACAATATGTTTAGGTACCTTTGTTCTAGGCGATAGATATCTGGTTACCAAAAGCCTTATACAAACAAAACAAAGTGCATATAAATACGTTTATAGAAACAGATATTTAACATGAAAAATAACTGAAAATAAATCTCGACAAAATTTAACTGAAGATGTAGATTTTTCGGGTCAAGAATAAAAAAAAAAGAATGTAGACATTTCCAATCAGGCAGATAACTAAACACTCATTATTTTACTTATCATAGATAAGGTAAATGAATCACTATCAGTCAGAGACTTATTTGATACAATTTGTTGGGAATACAACATCGAGCCTGGATATACGAGACCAAAGGACTGGAAATTTTTCCTACTTAAGGAGGTTTTCCTCTAAGCTGAGTTTAACGCTTATGGAGGTCGTTTTGGGACCGGACAGTTACTCTCGCTTATGGTTTCTCACTTATTCGGGTTCGATTTCACGTAGTAATTGGTACATAATTTGCCAAGATTGTCTGATAACAATCTAACGTGTAAAATAAATGATGATATCGGATTTTGTTACCTAATCTGACAGTAATTATTAAGCTATCTAAGCCTCTATCAGCCAGTGGTGGGACAGGCCCTTAATTTAAGTACATCAACATTTTTACACTCACTTTGATATAAAAATTAACGTTTTTTTAAGCTTTGTATAATTTACAGTCATATAGATAATCTGAATTAAGAAGGATTTCAACTTTGGGCGTGTGGGTCATAAGTCCGAAATGATAAAGTTTTGATATGTGTACAGATAATAAATTCTCGTACGACCGAAACCGATTGTTGACAATAACGATTAGCGGACTATCAGATATATCGATAAAAAAAATTAAATCGATAAAACCAGTTCGCGATAAAATAATCAAATGATTTATCATTGACTGACGCATTTCGTAATATATTACATCTGATACGAAACATCAATAACTTAAAACGTTGAAATTCACGGTTCACTGTTAATAAATAACAAACAAAACACCATTTCAAGTTAAAGTTGTAATATACTTTGATATTCAAAATATTAAACATTCAGAAGAAAAACAGAGTGTTTGTGTTCCAAAAACCAAGCAAATATGTTGTTCCAAAAAC